CAATTTAGGCAGGATTTGGGAGGGTGCAAATGTATTTCTGGTGGATCCAAATGTATTGTTGGATTTTTCTTGTTTATACCAGATAGTTGTTTTATGGAAAATTTAGCATATAGACAAATTTAGCATTTAGCATTAACATATAGATATGTGGGATATTTTATGTTATCAAATTTTTAGTGTTGATCAAAACAGGAAAATCAAATTGCTGTTAATTGTCACCCCTTCTTTGCTCTGGTCACTAGGAAACCTGAAGACACATTTCTGTTCAAAGCCAAGTTGATTTACAACCTGGCAGAATGCATTGTTATATGCTAATCTTATCTGCAACTTTAATATGCCTTGACTTTATTCTGTTTTTCCAGAACCCTGTTTACATCATGCACATTTTCTGCAAGTCATTTTAATTTTTCTGCAGGATGAGGCAAAAAAGGCAGTCTGAGAGATGACTCTCTCTAGTGTATTGTGTGAATTTGAAAGGTGACCACATCAATACATCTTAATTTTTTAGGGGCTATCTAAACATTTTTATGATTATGCAGCACTAAACTAACTACAAAATTCATTTCTAACCCCCCCCCAAACCCCAAATGTTTGGATCTTACAAAAAAGAAATCTTTCCAGCACTAAACTCACATTCTCAATCTTCTCTCTCCTCTCCCCACTCCACAGTCCCACCCCCCCTTCAACTTCCTCCCATTATAGTCTTAAAATTCAGTGGTGTTAGTGTTACCTACTTATTCAGTTAAGTCTCCTTCAGCAACTTTTTGTACTGGTGTCTGGAGCACTGGATACATTTTGGGGGAATCCAGGAGAAAATCCTTTTGCTGCCTTCAAAATAAAAGGATATCTTGGCAGAATAAACTGATCTGACATAAGAATCCATTCTATGTTTTTCCACAGTCTTGGATCAGATGTACTCCTTACCTTTTTTCATCAAAAGCTAGTTCTTTAATTATTTTGGCTTTTGTTTTTCTAGTCACAAACGTAAAATGTGCTAGCAGAATATTTCCTTTGAGGATTAAATACTCTGGTAGTTCTAAATGTGGTCTCTTAATGTACAGAATAAAACAGTTTTTCAAATCAAGTATAGTTTTTTTCAGGTATTCTATTAAATTATCAGTTTCCATACAGCTTGTCTATTTCCTCTGCCATTCACTATAGTGAACTAAATCTTATTTTTGGTTCCCAAACATCTACTCTCCCCACCCTTCTAACGGGGCCTCAAATTTCTGTTCAGAAATTTTCTATACTTCCCTATAACTCAGTCCTCATGGGATTCAAATATTGCAGAAGACTTCTATCATATCCTCTGCCAACTAGCCTCATTCTCCAGGAACTCTGTGTCTTGAGTAGAGTAAGACAAGGGTAGAAGAAACAGTCCATGTTTTCAAATTCTAGGATGTCCTAGGGTGATAGTTGAGCTACAGTTGCCATAGATGGCAATTTGAGACTTTTTGCTCCGAGTTGTTCTCCACCCTTCTTTCTGATTCGGTGACATCACTATGTCCTATTAAAGTCACTTTCTGCTCAGTATAGCTATTAGTTTCTGTTGTAAACAAATAATATTACACCACATATTTATACATGCTCTTTTCCACACGTATCATCTTCTCTTGCAATGTCTTAAGTTTATTTACTCATTTTTGTTTTGCATTTGTCAATTTTCAATATCATTTTTCCTTTGTTTATTCTTATTCTGTAGTGGCATTACCCAAAAATTGTTCTGGGCTACAATAATTGTAACTCACTGTTGGCAGATGTAACATGAAAAAAAAAGGGGGGGGGGGCTATAGTTAAGTAAGTGAGGAAAACAGAAGGATATAAAATTAAATTAGTTTCTTTTTTGGTGCATTGTGAATTTCCAAAGAAGAATATAGGATATAGCTTCATTCAAACTTAAAAATGTACTAAAAATAAGTTTGGATTTATCCTACCATATCAAAAGAAACTAGTGGCCTGTAGAACACATTTTGGGTAATGATATTCTAGATGCTGCTATATTTACTGTCTCCAGTGAGAATTTTCAGTCCCCTTTGAGCTTATTACAGAGCAACGCTATCTTTAAATTTATTTTTAATACTAATCATTTCTATTTAGTATTCATCTTATCTCCATTCTGTTTATAATTCTTGTGGTTGTTTGAATTTCATATCTGAGCATATTTCAAAAAGTTCATGGAAAGATTCGTATTATCTTTTAATTCTATTTTTCCATGAACTTTTCAAAGTATCCTCACATAGAGTGAAAATGTGAAGGTTTGACTTTTTTTAATGGTAGTAAAAAATATTCTAATTGAACTAGGACATTTCAAGTTTTTGAAATCGAAGTTTACTACATGTATTTGATGTTGCTATTTTTTCTTTCAGTTACATTGGCATTCTTGGTAATTGCTCAGTGTTTCTAAAACATGTAACACAATTCAGTGGTACTTCCCTCTGGCTTTTTCCAATATAAATTTAAGAATTTTGAGCTTATATCAATGTGGGCCTATATACTTTTAATGGTGATTTATTCTTAAAATACTACTGAGCCTCAGTGATGAAATCAGAATGTTAAATTACGGTGGTTTAGTAGCCCCTGTATGAGATAATTTAGGAAGACAAATTTTCCTAAACTACCTCAGTAAATTATTTGATCTATATAATAATGTATGGTATAGAACTTTATCAACTATCAGAACTTATTCATAATTTGGCCATGTTGGTATTCTTTCTATTAAATGAATGCTCATTTTTTCATTTTGATATGGAGACAAATAGCTCAAGCATAGACTTGGGTTAGCAATTTTTCCAGATTACATTCCTGATAGCCAATTCCCCTGAATGCATTCGTCACATGAAAGGCAATTATCAGTGATGAGGTAACTGAAAGAAAAGGGGCAAGAAATCATGTTAAAACAATCTAGTACTAGTAACTTCTCACCTTGCAACTCCACTTCAGAGACTAAATACTAGTAGTTATTGACTGATTATAACTACGTTATTCAAAATAAAGGAATACTGAACCCCATCGTCCAACATTTAGGGAACTGTCAAGAAAAAAACATGCTATGAACAATCTTTATAAATTAAAATTAAAATGTATTCTATAGAAACACAGAAAAGCATCTAAGAAAAAATACCTTAAATAAATTTTTATCATAAAAATATAAATGCAGAAAATCTAAATATAAAAAAACAATGATTGCACAGTGATAAGGACAAAGCAAATATACTAAAAGAACAATTATTTGCAATAGAGGTGTTCTTCGTATTCCATAATTTACTACAGTTGGCTAAATATAGAATAAAAATATACCCTTATAAAGTCTTGGGCAAATTATTTTACCTATAGGCAAACTATAATATATGTGGTTATTATATCTACATAATTATATAAATTGTTATTGCTAAGTATACACATATGTAGAAACATATAGGAGTATATACACATACTTGACACGTAGTTGTGAGTGAAAAACTATCCTAATTAAACACAATGCTTTAGAAGGAATACATATTTATTTCTCTTTGTATGCTCTTTTATCTCCATTGAGCCCAGACACAGAAAGATACAGCCCTTATTTCCTCCAAATTGTCTCACCTCCACATAAATTATGGAGAAAGTTAAAACGAAGGTCATCTTAGTACGCCATGTCAAAAACATGAGAACATCCAGGCACTTAATACTCCAAGACAAGTATTCTAAAAGCAGAGACTTGTTACTTAAAACGATATTAGTTAATTTTAAGCATAACTTTTACAAAATATAGATTCCTTGGCTAGATGTTTACAACACCTTAAACCAAACTGAACAAATAAAATTATTTGGGACTAGAAAAACTGGGAAAAGGCAGGAAGAGCATATGTATCAGAGGGTCTCATCACCTTGGCTAAGGAAGTCACAGAGTTCATAATGAAGAACAGAATTTAACACTTAAAACAGGACATATACAGAGGGATACAGAAGCCATCTATATACCTTGAAAAGAACTATAGTGGAATAAAATTGAAAGAGAGAGAGAGAAAATGTAAGATTGTGAGGGCTGTTTTATATGGTTAGGAAAATACTTGAGAGACAGGAACAAAGTCAAGCAGCTTTTCTCATTAAACATTTATTGTTCTGCTTAAATCCGTTTGAAGGAGCACTGAAAAACAGAAATACTACACTGGGTAAGATCCATTCTTCCCCCAGCCAGAGTGCCACGGCTAGAACAAATCTGATTGATGTGCAATTGAAATACATGACTGTTTTTCCTTGATGTAGCTTTTAACGCTATCAACATTAGAGGTGAGGTCCATTCCAATAACACTTAGTGGACATTTATATGGTATTCATAAAGTTGTCTAAAACCTTTCAAGAAAATAGCGTTGGTGCCCCCTATGAGCACAATACAAAAATCCTTTCTTAATCTATCAATAAAAGGCAGCTAAATTAAAAATTCCTTCTTTGCTCCAAGCATCAGATAATTAATTAGGCCCTGTCCTAGGAAGAACTCAAAAGCACTTGACACAGGGATACTGGCCTATAGGAATTTTCACTGGGTAGCTAAGTATCTCACTCACTCCCTTAATTTCATAAATACCATAATTTTTATATCTCACTTGCCACGTTTTCTTCATTTTAAAATGTTTTTATTAAACTAGCATTATATTAACTTAAAATAATTTTTAAAACAAAAAATCATCCACAAGCCTGCCACTACTCTAAACCTCTTTGATTTGACCATAGGCATATATGATTTGTAGTTGTAATAACACCGTACATAGCATAATGAAGTCAGTATTTTTGAAAGCCATTACTTAACACTCCCTGAAAATATGTTCTGTTAAACTTTCCCAGCCTGCTCATTTAATTAGTACATATAAGAAATTCAGTGTAAGGTACAGATCCATCAAAATATGAGAACTTAATGGATTCCTTCTAAAAATATACCAAAAAAGGCATATTTTACCAAAAAAAAAAAAATGTAATTTTAAGACACTTTATAATTCACATTTATATACTACTTTTCATCTTACCTCTTCTCCAGACAGATAATAGGCTGAGAGTAGTCCACCAACAAAGCGTATATTCACTTCAAAAACAGAAATTTCGGCATTCTGTGGAAATGAGATAATGGAGGTTCAAACATAATAAAAGTACACAACTCACAAAATGATCATTCTGATAAACTACACTAAATATTTAAATTTTGTTCAAATCTTATATGCTTGCCTAGAGAGATTTATATGTAAGAGGGTAAAAATCCCTCCTATTAATGACAAAATATGTAGATAAATAGATAAATACAGGTAAATAAAGATAAAATACAGATATAACAGATAAAAATAATTTTGACTCAAAATCAAGATTATAGCTGGTTAATGAACACAAAATTACAGCTAAATAGAAAAAATAAGCCCTACTGGTGTAGAGTTGACCCAGGAATCTATAATAATGATTTACTGCATGTTATCAAACAACTAGAAGAGAGGAGATAAAATGTTCACATCACAAAGAAATGATTGTTTTGCAATGATGAATATGCTAATTACCCTGAATACATCATCACACATTGTATACATGCATTGAAATATAACACTATACCCCATAAACATGTACAATGTTTCAATAAAAAATTTTTTACAAATCAAAATTATAAAAATATTTATAAAATAAAGTTCCTTCCTCTCTACGGTACAGTAGCAGATAGAATACTTGGTGTTCTCTACTTGTACAAATGTGATCAGACCAAAGCATTTATTTTTTCTTTTCTGTTTTCTCTATTTTACTCATGTGCCTGCTTTTTCTTCCTTAAAGGCCATACAGACTACACTTTGGCTGATAGTTCGACATTAATCTAGCAATTTTTTCATATCATGTTAAAATAGCATACTTAGAATGCAAATAGAATTTGAAGTTGGGGGACCTAGGTTCTAGGGCTGGTTCCCAACTTTCTGACTGTGGCTAGGTATGGTCACACCTCTCTGAGAAGATATTTTGTCTTTGTGGAAAGTATATGATAACAACAATGTATATCTTGCTGAAACAGCTCTTAATTATATCAGTAATAACTTGCTTTTATTATTATTTACAATAGCCAGATACTGTGCTAATCTCCTTACACGAATGATATCTTTTAATCCTCATATTGACTTTATGAATTAATTACTATTCTTATGTCTATTTTACAGATGGAGAAACTATGACTTATAGTGGTTAATGTGACTTTTGAAGGTTAGACAATGAATAAATGGTAAAATCAGGATGTGACCATGAGTACTCTGATTCCTGGTTTAGGGCTCTGGTATTGACTCCTCTAATACCTCAGGCGACAATGTACCAAGTGTTTTTATTAACGATCATATAATTGTGGCATATTAGTAATTATTTTCAATATTTTTACAATATTTTATTGTTAAACGCATCTGCCTTGTATTCTGTTAGGAGATAATTTAGCAAGGCTAATCCATAATAGATATGAGGTACACTTCAAGCTTTAATTAGCTTCTTTTCATGTTCATTGGGCCTACTCAGTAATTACTCACTTTTGCCTAACATCAAATCATTCACTGATAATCATGAGGGCTAACAGCAAACTATAATATATGGAGTGAATAAATAGCAGATGAAGTTATTCAAAAGTACTTCATTTAACAAACATTTATTAAGCAACTACTATGTACCAGGCCGTGTCCTAGGTGCTAGAGATATAGCAATGAAGATGGACAAGGTTCTCAAACTCACTGAGTCTACATTTTAGTGTAGAAAAACATTTCCAGGGAAAAAAGGAGATACATACACATTTTATTCCCACATGCTCTCTCTAGAAAGGTATAATGATCTAACAAAGCTAAGTAATTGCTTAAGTTAAAATGAATATTTCAAAAAATTTCCTGCCAAAGGAACATTATGAAAACAAGTTAGAAGAGAAAATTACTAGGTCAAAGATAGGTAAATGCACCATAAAATAAGACTGCTTGGTGAGTATGCTTAATTATATTTCAGAATTTGTAACATGCACCTATTGTAATTTGATTAAAAACATTCCAAATAGGCATATTTTATCTTTGAGATATATCACACTGAATGAGTATTATATATATATTGATAAAAGCTTTAATATTCTACAAAATTACTGATAAGGAAAAGGGAAGAGAATCCATTAATTTAGTTTGGTTCACACAACTATATTTCTGATGGCTGAAAGTAATAATGTCTAATAATAAAATCTAATAAATTTAAAACCTCGAATCATATCCCTCCCAATTTGTACTTGAGGTTTTCAGTTTTTCAACCTGAGAACAGTCCCCCACATTTCTGCCTACTGAAGCCTAAGATGATTTTATATCCTTATTCTGGCTATGAGGTCATTACATGTGCATCCTTTCTTCCTCTTATGAAAATTGTGGATAATCAGGACCTTTTATACAGACATCTGATAAAAATTATTGCAAGATAGAGGACTGAGTCATGTCAAATACCACTAGAAATATATCTTCAGCTAGACATCAATCACCTATTGGGTATAGTTATTCAACCAGTTATTGATCCAGCTATGTATTACAGAATATAAATTTTTATTTATCTTGTTCCTTCCATAAAATATTGAGAGAGGACCATGCAAAATGCCATGTTCAAGGTCAGTTGCTATGACTTTTGAATTTCATGAATCTAATAGTCTAGTGAGCCTGTTCAGGAAGCAGATCTGACTTGATTGTGAATCCATGTAGGTTTTCAGTGATTGCTGTGTCCCTGTCTTTAAAAATATTGCTCAGGAATGTCATATCACCATCAGTAGTGCCCAGTCACCATCTTCCTCTTTTTGAAAATCAGAACTACATTTCAATTTACAACATGTAATTCTTTCTACCTCCTTTTTCTGTTTTTCAAAGTTAAATTTAAATGATTTAGAAAGCTTGATTTGAGAGGTCTTTCAATACTCTAGGTTATATTATATTTTAGGCCAGAAGATTGAAATTTAGACACTCTAGGCCATTCTTTACAGATTCTTAGATCAAAAGCACTAAGAAGATAAAAATTCTGCCAGCATAACAAATTGATGGGCTATACTAGGGCAACAGACTATAAAGACACTGGCTTAGAGTCAGAAAGACTTTACTTGGATAGAAGGCTGGTTTGGGAGCTACCTGAGTGTGAGATGACAGGCAACTTACCTATTCTCTCTGAGTCTTGGTTTTATAATTTTGTAAAAAGGGACAATGCATTCTTTACAAGGCACTGAGTTCATGAATGTGAAGCACTGTGCATAATACCTGGCCCAAGAAGGGTACTTAGTAGACAGTTGCTGCCATTATCACTGTGCAGGAGCTCAGCCTAAATAAACTAAAGCCTAGCTCCCACAAAATTATTGGAAAATCAAAAACTCTAGAATCATAGTATTCTTCTTCTCTGACTCATATGGGGTCATATTTCTCAATGGCTAAAAATCCTCTTCTGAAATACAGTATCCCGACCAACTTCCTTTTGGGCACACAATATACAGTATCTGGATTTTCAAAAGTGAGCTTCTGTAATTTGAGGATTTTAGGCCATTTTTATAAAACTCCCATTCCAATTTCCATTAAAATAATCATATTAAATTTAAATGAATATGCTCTTCCTATTAATATTCATGCTGTATCTTTTAAGATGTTCTAAAAGTCTTCTAGGGACTTATTCTGATGACAGAAGAGAGGTTAGGGCAGGGAGAGGACAGTATGTAGATGAAGCAGCCTATAACACTAAAATCTTGTGTGATTTATCCTAACAATTTGTATTAGTCTGTTTCTGCTGCTTATAACAAAATACCTGGAACTGTGTGATTTATAAAGAAAACAAAATTTATTGTTTTCAGTTTTGGAGGATGGGAAGTCCAAAGTCCAAGGAACACATTTGATGAAAGCTGTGGTAATGGTGACAGTGATTCAGGAGTCTCACTATGGCAGAAAATCACGGAGCAGAGAGACTAATCTCTCAAGTGCTCTTCTTTTTAAAGCCCTCAAAACCACGCCACCCCTGACCACCACTATTAATCCATTCACTACAGCATGATGCTACAATCTAATCACCTCTTCAAGGCTCTACCTCTCTCAATTACTATAATAGGATTTCCCACCCTCAACAGTTACAATGGGCATCCAATCTACAGCACAATTAATATGAATTTTGCAGTCTGCTTCATTTAAGACAAAATTAACTTCCTCCTTAAATCTTTAAGTAAGATTGCATCCCAGGAATATGTCCCTGTATTCTGTGGCTTCTAGTACACAGTCTTATGCTAGTGCCAGTTTGAGAGGCAGATCCAGTCTTTTGTTTAAATTGCATGCACCTGATCATTAATGTCACAACTGACAAGCAAATGGAGGTTGAAAATTTTGTGCCAAAAGCCTGCCCATATGAAAATCTGGATACGAGAAATGGCTCTTTCATTCCGGTATTTTCCTAGCAGTGGTCACTAAATCAAAGAACATACTTAACCAGATTCATCTAAACATTTAATAAAATATGTGGTATGACTAAATTCACACTTTAAATCAAGAGGTGAATAGAACAAATGATAGGAAAATTACACCTTGGTACTAATCTCTATTACTGTCCTAGGTGCCTTGGACTGATAATTTCCACAAGATTATCCATTTTCTTAACGTTTTTGTCCTCTTTCTGGTTTCCTATATATATAAGCAAAACTATGAGATAAAGTGATAAAGATTGCTAAAATGGAAGAGTCTAATTTATAATTTTTTTTAACATTTTAAAAATCAATAATGATTCTTTAATATAATCAAACATTAAACATGTATAAATTCCTCCAATTTTCTCCCCCTCCCTCTTTCTTTCTTAAAACTGATTTGTTTACATCAGGATCCAAACAAGTTCTGCTTGTTTCATTGGTTGCTATATCAGCTGTCTCTTGTTTCTTTTAATCTACAGGTTCCCCTTCATCTAATTTTTTCGCTTTTACCCCTCGAGTTTCCCAAGGTCTGGTTTTGCTGGCTCCATCCCAGTGGCATCATTTGACATGCTCCACCATCCTCTGCATTTCCTGGTGACTGGTTGCTGGATCCTGAGGCTTGGTCTCACTCAGGTTAGATTTGGCTTCAGAGTTATATGTTCTTAC